GCAACAAAAATTTATTGGATTTGTCTATTAGAAAGCATGAAAATTAACACCTTAATTTCATGCTATCTATGAATCAATATCCAAAACACTAGTATTTCCATCAGTTGTGGACAAGACAATAGGAGACAGGTGTTCATGACAAGAAGTGATTTGCGTCCTTGTAATCCTTTCTACTTGTGGTTTGTGTGAGTCGGTAGCATAACATTGAACAAAGATGCCACTGTTAGCAATTTTAGCAGCACCCTAATTGTTGCCATCCACCCGTTTATCTTTAAAACAAGTTAAAAAGATTCCTGCATAACCGAGGGGAAATCATTAGTCACCTCATTCTTCTGAGCAGATTTGAGTTTTCCTAGAAGAAAAACCACAAATCCAAAATCAAACATGTAATCTCTTAATTGCCATCACTTTGTTTTATGAATCTCATAACTAATAATTTTGTCATTTCTTTCTTTTGACGTACCATATGATTATGGGAACCAGACGAACAACCAGACGGTACAAAGAAAATCTGCAAAAACAAAAGATTGTACATGAGTACAAACACGGTATTAAAACCATAAGCAGAAGTGTAGAAAAGCAATGTCATAAATGAAACGAAGGCTTGAATACAAAGTCCACACTAGAGAATCTCGAACAACCTCAGATTCTTTTTTTATGACTGAAACCTCAGGTTCTTCAGAAGCTTGAATACAAGATGCAAAATAGTTTGGTTGGTGCCTGCAAAGCTGCAACCATGAAATGCATTTGAGTATTGTATATTTTTATGCAATCTCTACTTCAGGAGAACACATCAGAAACTTTTAAAAGGTGGTTAAACAACAAGAATCAAATAAACTTAGTTTTTTTATGGTGACATACCTACATTGGGATCCCCCTTCTGAAGGACCAAGGGTAGTGATAATTTGAAAAAAGACAGCTATGCACAAACAAGAGACAACATACTGGAATCAAACTCGTGCTGCTGAAACAACCTAAGCAATAATTAAATAGCCATCTTAGAATAGGAGATGAAAATAGCAATAATTAAGCAGCCATTTTAGGAGATGAAAATCAAAAGTAGCAGTACAGAAAAAGCAAATGCATTTATAGTGAATTTTAAGATCATATATATATATATATATTTTATTGATGATCTAAGCTTAGAATCAATTGTACTAAAATATACCTTGGAGGAAATGCAGGCAAACTTATGCCAATTTGGCTCAAATCAGGTGACATGTCCTTCCAGAGGGACCTTGAACATCATCCACGTCAATCCCGTGAATTGGTTGGTTTTCAAAGAATTAGCAGAGCAATTAAGAAATGACATTGAATATCCTCCCAAATCTTAACTAAATA